TAATACACTATAACACATTCCTTTTATTTTCAGTGTTCCACTTCACAAACCCAATTTCATCTAAAACTGCTATTGGTTCTCGCAGTTCAATCACCAGGAAAATGACCAGACGTTTAAACTTTTCACATATAAAAGTTTTTCTTCAAATTGACTTTTCAAACGATTATATTATCCGATACACATGTGTATTTGTCTCAGATTGTTTTGATATTACATTTAAGTTACAATCAGGAATACATTTTGAATGTATAGGTAAGCATAAACCAAATTTYCCTGTAGGTACTTACCTTATACCTTTATTGTATGGTTCTCAATAATATAATATGCTATAGTGTGGTTTGAGTTATTTACGGCCTCACTACTAATATGTATATTAAAAATTGACTTCCCAACCACTTTTATAAACGTTTTTTAAATACTATTAGATTTTTCAAAAAATAATTTTATGTTTTCATTTTTTTTTTCATTCTGAATAGTAAATTGATAAATTTTTATGCATACAACATGACGAATATCTAATTAACAGTTTATTTTATATATAATCATCATGGTTTTTAGATTTATATAATCAAAGTAATGCTCCAAAATKTTGTTTATCAACTTCGCGTTYTCTCGTTCTACACTTTTGCATATTATTATACTTTAAATGWATACAGATAAAAACAARTATAAGAAATTACGTAATTTCRTAAATGTGCGTTAAAAAAAAATTTTAAAATCATTATGAATGATAAATTATTAAAACATTAATTTTTGTACAAATATGATGATAAAGTATTTATTACAAAATGCTTCAATGTCAAATTAGTATTTAATAAAATAAGGTATAATGCAGGTCAACTTAAATTAAGTACGAAAAATATGATTATTTAATGTTTAATAAATACAGTGTTGTAAATTATTTGAATAAATGTATTTAAATACTTTTATAGTAGGTATTTAGAATACTTTTAAATATTTTAGTWTAAGTATTTGGAAAGTATTTTAAATGCTGTCTTGGACATATTTGTATTTGAAAATCAAATACTTTTGAAAATCCAAATACGAATTATTCGTCAAATTGTCTGATATATTTTTATTATTTTTTTGAATTGTTATAGTATTTTATTTATAATATTTTTCCATTCA